CTTGTTTGCAGCTTTGCCAATAGGTCAGTCCCAGGTTTACCCCTATAGCCACTCTCTACATCTAAGGAATTATTTATTTTGTCATAGTATTTAAATCATAATGTAATTTCAGAATTCAGTTCTGTAGAATTTTTTTCCCTTTAAAAAATGTATATTCTGGTAGTTTTAATTGGCAAAAAAAAATGTAATTGTGATTTAATACTGCATAGTGTTATGGAGTATTTTTTTATATGCAAAAAAAAGACAACAACAGAAACCTTGCTGGAGAGGCCAGTGGAGCGCCGACATGTTCGGGGATGGTGTGCTTTTGCCAGGATCCCAGTGCCCAATCATGCACATGCTGTGGGCAAGTTCTGGGAGCCCGGCTCAGACATCATGTGGACATTTGTGCATGAAAAGGTGTGCACACACCTTTGTGTGCGTAACTACATATATTTTGAGAAGCATACCTGGAAAGGTGCTTTATCTATAATAGCCAGTTTTCAAAATGTAATCCAGAGCAAGAGGTCTGTAGTGAAAACACGCACACAAGAAAGGTTTTTGATACTAAACACAAAGGTGTAATTGAGGTGTTTATGCCCAAATGTCTGTAAATCAAACGTGATATTTATCGTCTGGTGGGTCTGTTTGAAAGGTTTGGTAGATCAGTTCTCATTTCACAAAAATAAAATAATGTAACTAAGTGATTACTAGATATATACTTCCAAGGCAAAATAATTTTCCCACTTTGTGAACTTTTTGCACGTGTGTAGCACATCAAGGCTGTTTATAAAGTATAACTTGGATGATGTGACAATATGGTTGAGGAAGGGGGTGTGGCTGGTTGTTTTTAAAAATTAGGCACCTCACAGTTTTTAAGACAAACATGTTAATCTAAAATCTTCAGAAGTCAGGGTTAGGGTCTTTTAAGGCCTTTGTTTAGGCCTAAGACATAAAAAAGCAGCTACCTTTTTTAGGGTGTGGCATAAAAGAAACCTGTTATTTTCAGTTATTACTGTCTTCACAGTAAAATAATGTTTTTGCAGCCAATGTAAGGGATTTTTTTTTTCTTCATACTTTCATTATAGTATTTGAAATAAGTCTTATTATTTTATTTTATTTTATTTTTTTTTTTTTAAATATATATTTTATTAATTTTGTACAGAGAGGAAGGGAGAGAGATAGAGAGTTAGAAACATCGATGAAAGAGTCATAGATCAGCTGCCTCTTGCACACCTCCTACTGGAGATATGCCCACAACCAAGGTACATGCCCTTGACCGGAATCGAACCCGGGACCCTTCAGTCCCCAAGCCAACGCTCTATTCATTGAGCCAAACCGGTCTCGGCAAAATAAGTCTTATTATTTTAAAGCAATAGTTTTTTTTCTCTCAATATCAGAGACCTAATTTTTCACACACCCCCAAAAATGTTTATTTGAAGTAAACTTACGTATCTGCACTCTGGATGGCCTAATTCAACATTACACACTTTGCAGAATTAGGTGTGCCTCCACTTAAGAAACTCTCCAGGTGCCAGCAGGGGAGGGCATTTGAGGGCTATCAGACTGGCAGGGGAGCAGTTGGAGGTGATCAGGCTGGCAGATAGAAGCAGTTAGGGGCAACTGGGAAAGCAGGCAGGCAAGCAGTTAGGAGCCAGTGGTCCCAGATTGTGAGAGGGATGTCCGACTGCCAGTTTATGCCTGCAGGGATTGGGCCTAAATCAGTAGTTGGACATCCTCTAAGGGGTCCCAGATTGGAGAGGGTGCAGGCCGGGCTGAGGGACACCCTTCCCCCTCCCCCCCCCTCCCCCCCGCACAGATTTCATGCACTGGGCAACTAGAATAAAAATATTTTGTTATTCTATTAATAATTGCTTTAGGTTTTGTTGTTGTTGTTAACTATGGTATTTCTTCCTAATTTATAGTTAACCTAGAAACTTCTGGTGTTTTAATATGATTCAGGGTGGTAGGCAGTGTATAACATCACTTTTCTAGACTTGGTCCTCTCTCTACATGAAAGATCTTTATTTCCAATTGTCTAGGTTCTTGCTACTAAAAATGTGTTCTGTGAACTGGTAGTATCAACATCACCTGTGTATTAAAAATGCAAAACCTCAGGCTCTACTCAAGACCTTATACTTTTTTCCCCTTTATCCTCACCAAAGGTTATGTTTTTATTTATTTGAGAGAGGAAGAAAAACATAGATCAAATGCCTCCCATATGCACCCCAACCAGTGATCGAACCTGTAAGTACGTGCCCTGACAGGTATCTGCAGCCTTTTTTGGTGCATGGGACAATGCTCCAACCAACTGAGCAGCCCAGCCAGAGCAAGACCTTATACTTCTTAATGCCCATTTTAACAAGAATTCTTAATCAATTGATATGAACATTGAAGTTTGCAAAGCACTAATCTAGATACCATCCAGCTAGTTTAGACATTAACGTTTTCTTGAATGTGTGATCTTATTTAAATGTTTGTAAATTATTTTGTAACTATTCGTCTTGGTTCACCAAAAGTTTTATCCTCGATGGGTAGCATTGCTATTACTATGTGAAAGAAATAACAAAATTAATCTTAAACAGTAGTCAGATCTTTTAAGTGAGGATTTGGTATATATTAGGTCTAAAACTATAACAAACATTTATTAGTTTGGTTTCTTTGTCCTTCTTCCATCAAATTGTATATGTGGATGAAGAACTATTTTGTTGTTCTTCTTGGGCTGTCAAGAAAATTGTATGGACAAAGATGAATGTTGAAGAAAAAATATTCAAACTTCTATTTAGTGTTTATCTTAAATGAGAAAAATTATACCTTACAAAATTTTATATGTTGCTTAATAGTATATATTTACTATTTATGAAGAAATATTGAGGACCCATATTCAAATCTTGCTTTTACATGATGAAAAATGTTCATAAACTCCTATGTAGAGCAATATGACAATTCCATAAAATTTCAAAAATTTCTATGGGATTTTGAGTTGACTGGGAAATAATCTTGTAGTAATTCTCTGCTGGGCCCTGCATTGTGTGGGTGCATATGGGTAGGGACAGTATTTACTATTATTTTTGCAAGGTTGATAGAAAAATAAATGTTGTATTCTCTGAGCACATATTAATGAAGACTTAGAGATAGAATTCCTTTTTGCTACTACTTTAATCAATTAAGTTAATGCATCATGTGTGTACAGTCATTTGATGACACCCTAAAACTTAAATTTAGTTGTATATGTGTGCTTTAGGAGTTAGTTTAAAAAATTAAAGTGATTTTATTTCTTTTAGTCATAAAAGAAGAAAGTTCTTTGTATTATGCTTTAAGAATAAGCACTGAGAGCATAAAAATCAATATCTTATTATTCCTTTATCATTCAGATGAAGTGTGAACAATATGGCCACATTTCTATTGGTATTTTTCTTGAGTAATGGTATTGTTTAATGATGATAAGCAATATCTCAGTGAATTATTTGTACCTCCTTTTGACCTTTTGCCTAAGAATGACAGTGAGAGGAAGTGCCGGAGAGAAAACCTCAGATATGTGTGAGAGAGCCATATGTTACTTAACACTTCAAGAGTGTTTAGTTTTAAGCAACAAAAGAAAACTCCAAGGAATGACCTAGAAGCCATTCTTTTTAAAAAATAAATCTTTATTGTTGGAAGTATGACATATACCCCCACAGCCCCCAAAAGCCCTTCCCACCCCATCCCCCATTCTATTTTGTCTATAGTTTCTGCTGCATGTAGCTGTGACAGACGGGGACATGGTTGTGGTTACCAGAGGATAGATACTCTTGTGGTCATAACCAAGTTGTAAATGTCACTAAGATTCTTCTTGTATGTCTGTCACATGTGTATCAGTGATTCTAAAATATATAAAAATGAAACAATGATTCATTTGGGAGTTAGCACTCCCAGAAGATTAGTTTTTAAACAGAACAGCAGAAGGACTTGTGACATGCATCCATAAGCAATAGTAATGATTTGACAGTTATTTAGCTCTCAGTTCCTAGCCTTTTGGTTGAACTGACAACATGCCTGCAAAGATAGTGAGGCCTGTTTCAACCCCATTAATGTTCCCCTGCAGTCTGCGTTAATGATAAATGTTCAGTGATTGATGATTTTATAGTCCCAGGGGATTCTGGGTGGTTTCTGGTTTCTGTGAGCCAAGGCAGTTGTCTTTCTTTTTGGCTTCTTGTTAGTTTTTCTAAGCTTTACTAAAATTGCTTTAAGCTGGCAGAAGGATAGGTATCATGTTTAGTTTTAAATGACTAGAGTTCCAGGCCTTATCAGTATGAGTATGATTTTAGAAGGTGATGCTGTACTTAGTATGTGTAAGAGTCTGAGAACCAGAACGTTTTTAATCCATGGAGCTTTTGTAACATTTTATTTGTAAACTTTGTTATCTTATTTTCTTGTCTGCTTAAAAACAAACAAACAAAAAAAACGTGTTTTAATTTATAAGGAGAGATTTAATAACAGCTACTATGAAATAACATTAGCTTTATTGTTTTCATGCTGTTTGCAGTTTTAATTTTCAGACTCTTAAAAACTTAAATCAGCTATTTTTAATGTGTTTTTTTTTTTTTATCATGGCTCACTTTCTTAAGAGTATATTTTGTTATACTGGTATTAAAAGAAGTATAAACAGATCTTTCTTTCTTTTTTTTTTTTTTTTTGCTAAAGATTTGTTTGCTGCTTAGTAAAGGAGGCAGAAAAAAGATGATGGAGATAAACATTTCCTAACAGAAATATATTTTCTTAGTTCATCCCTTTTTTTAAAAAAGGATTTATAGAACTAGATCATAGGGCTACTTTTCTTTAAGATCAAGAAAGAAACATTTTTTACTTTAAGACCTTAAAAATAACAAAAGAACAACTCTGTTTAGTTTTCTAAGTAATGAACAATGAACTTGATGAGGAATAACCATTTGTAAGTCTGTATATTAATTAGATGATTATGCTCAATTAGTAGGACTGCCAAATAATCTCTTTAACACTCCCATCTTTTTTTTTTCCCCTAGGGTTTTACAGACAGCCCTCATTACAGTGATCACTTGAATGACAGTCGATTAGGGGCCCATGAAGGCCTGTCCCCAACACCTTTCATGAACTCAAATCTGATGGGTAAGTTGGTACTTTCTGCAAGTAGTCTTCACAAAGCCTCTTTGGTTAGAGGCATATTTTGTCTTCTTGTCCAGGAAGGACACATAAGTATCTAAAGGAAAGTTTCTGAGTTTCTAGAAACATCTCTGCTTTCTTGTTCAGCTCAGTGTGAGGAGCAAACATACAGAAATGTGGATCTTTCTCACATAGCATTATTGTCATGGGAATCAAAAAAGAAAGCAGCAATGTTTTAACTGTCATTTTCTGCAGTGTTTTTGTGACATCAAGCTTTGCTTTGGGGGCAGAGAAGTGTTTCTGAGACATTTATAATTTATTATTTGTCAAAAGTTGTATGTGATAATTAAAAATACAACAAAGCAGAGATTTTACTTACATTGGGTAATATTTTCTTTTGGCACTATTTGATTAAGACTTAATAGTTCATTTAGATGATGTAGCTTTTGTTTTAAGCCCTTGGGTTCATATTGGCAATTTTAAGTTTTGTTCTGCATTGGAAAAGTTGTACTTTGAAGGATATTACCTACTACCTAAACCTGATTATTATATTTTATCTCCCCTTTACTTTCTGCATCACAACCCCATCTCCCTTTTATCTTTCTCATATGAAAGTTTATAGCTATACAATCTGAAATGATAAGCCCAAGTTTTTTGTTGTTTGTTTTTTTAAATTAGTTTGGATGCTACTCATTTTTATGATACTTTCATCTTTTTGCAGAACCTGATTCAAAAGAATCTGCTTTATGACATTATTTTTCCTTTTTGCTTATGCTGGTGCTCAGCACATTAAAAAGCTTTATTTAATCTGTCTTACTGGTTTTTGGTGGCATCATGTAAATATGGAAGGTTTTGTGTAATTGTCATTGATTTCATTACTTATTGTTTCTGAAGGACATGACCTATGTTGTGATCTTAGAATTGTCCTTTTAAGACACAGCCATGCTAATCTAAGTGGATTATCCAAATCCAAAATCCTGGTGGTCTGCAATTTTTTTACAAATGGTTTTGCTTTACACAGTCTTTGTTTATTTCCCTTATCCTGTGTAAAGTGCTAAGGAAACAAGTCTCATGTGTTAGTCTGGATTTTGCCTAAGGCAGTTACCAATCTAAAACCAGAATCATTGAATATGATATGAGTAAAATATCTATAATTAGCAGTAAAACTTGTGTTTATAATTACAATTTCGCCCTAACTGGTTTGGTTCAGTGGACAGTGTCAACCTGTGATCTGAAAGGTCCCGGGTTCTATTCCGGTCAAGGGCATGTATCTTGGTTGTGGGCCCATCCTCAGTAGGAGGTATGCAGGAGGCAGCTGGTGGATGTGTCTCTCTAATCGATGTTTCTCTCTATCCCTCTCTTCTTCTCTAAAAAAACAATAAAATATATATATATTTTTTAAAATGACAGTTTGTTTCAACATAAGTGCAAATGAAAATCTCAGTATCATGATCATTCCAGGTCAAAATCAGAATTTATCTTAATAAATTTAGAACAAAATAATTATCCTTGCATTTAGCCAAAAAAAACCTTTCTAATTTATTTTTTAAATTTTCTTTTGAGCTTACTATCAAAGTAAAATAGATATGACACTTCAGATAATTTCCTTTTGTAGTATAGTTTTTTTCTCCAAGTAGCGTTTAATTTATAGTAAATGTGTTAGAGCATGTTACAGTCAATGTGCTTGTAATTTCTGATTGAACTAAGCTTTCTTAATTGAGGCTATAACTCTTTTAAGTTTTGAAAAATCAGGAAATGTTTTTTACTTTTAATATTTATGTTCTTACCTTTATTTTTAACTCACAGAGATGATTCTTAAGACCAGTAGAATTATATCATTAGCATGGTTTTGAACAAAGATTAGTTAAAATTGTTGGGTAAGTGTGAGAATTAAATGAATTCTAAGAAGTATGTGTCAGCCGCTGACTAAAAATATTTCTGTAATTCAGTTTGAGGTAGCATTTTCTTAGTTGGAGAAATTATGAGCATGTACTTGTTGGTTTCTTGAGTTTACAGATAATTATTAGAATACTTTTAATAGTCATCCCTATCTTGTGTATAAAATAAGTCTTGAAATAAATTTTAAAGACTCAGATTTTTTAAACAGGTTGATACAGTACAAGTGAAAAAAATCTGCATTCATCTAACTACATTGTACTGTTAATAAGGTACAGCAATACATTTTCATTGTAAGTTTTAAACATAATCTTAAAAAATGTGCCTTTACCTGTAAGAAAGGGGGAAATAATTCTGAAAAGATTTGGCAGATATATTCAGAAGCATTTCACCGGTCATTAGCAGTATCTGATTTACTGTACTTCTTTCTCTTTGTTTTCAATACAAGTGATCAAATGAAGTATCTAATAATTTAGTCCAAGCAATCTGCAGGACAATAGCTTGCTTTTGGAAATAAATGTCTCTTAAATTATAGAACAGTTACACAGCAGCAGGCATTCCTAGTTGATATGAGCTGAAGTAATTGGATATTAGATATTCAAAATGTGGGTTTATAGTACTCCATAGTCACAGTGGATAGATTTACTTTTCTAGCCAGTGACAACTTAAGAGAGTTTCCACCTAAAAACCTTCATTGTTAAAGCAGAACTGAGGTGGGCATGGTGCTAGAATTATTTGGAACTGTTAATATGTAGTCATCATAACAGGTGATGACACTTCACAGGGGTGGCTATGAATGATAAATGCTCAGAAATAGTTAAAGCTAATAGAAAAGCAGTAACGTATTTCATCATTGCTGCAACACCTTTAGAGGGGGGATTGTATGTCTAGGGAATGTCTTGTGGTGGGTTTTTTGTTGTTGTTGTTTTGTTTTTGTTTTTTTTGTATTATGTTCAGCCATAAGCTCATTTGCCTGAAGAAACAGTGTATTATAAAGTGCACTTTCATGATGGTTCTCTCAAACACTTTAATGATTTTGCACACTGCCAAAATGAGAAATTTTGTCTATCAAAGGTTGTTAATGATTCAATAATGAAAAAATTGCCATAGAAACATGCATTTCTATATTCATTTAGATATTTTGAAGTGTTTTATACAGGAAGTAAAGCTATTATGTTAGGTTAGTTAGTGTTCCTTTTTAATGAATTCCAGAATTATCCAGTTGATTTGTCAATATGAAAAAGAAGAGTTTTTTGGTTTCAAGTTGAAATAACTACATCTTTTGGCACATAACTAAGTAATTAGCATCAAATAGCTCTGTACTCTGTTATAGTAACACTGCAAAGCTTTAACAATAGCAATGAATCGCAGTAGTATCATCAAATAGTCTATTGTTCTCTTTTTCTACACTTGGTCTCCTCATTAACCTCAGTAATATGTGTTTTCCTTTACCTGTAGTTGATTAGATGTAATTTTGGTGATACTGGGACCAGTTTATTAATTGGACATATATGGATTATTTTATAGAATTGCCTACCTTCAATTCCCAACTGATTGTAGAATGGATTATTCTTATATTAAAGCTTATGTTTATCAAAGCTTTACTTATTTTACATGGTGTGTGCATGTGCTGTCAATGGGAAATTTAAGATGAGATACTACCTTCAATTTTCCTTTTTTTCTGAGACCTTCAATTGTGTAGTTTTCTGAGATCCATTTTGCCTCTGGAGATGTTTTGTTAATATTTTATCTTTTAAAGAGTGAAAATACTTTAAGAAAGTGTTGGTGGTATAAGAAAAAATGCAGGGCTGAGTGTTAGGTGATCTGGATTTTAATAACCTTTTTCTAATAGGGTACTGGTGGGTAGTCTCAAAGATATTCTGCAGCTCTGGAATTCTATAATCTGACGTATCTAATATTTTCAACCCTGAAAAAGGCTGCAATTATCGATAGAATTATAATTGTTTTTCCCCCTGACATTTCAGAGACAATAATTGGCAAAACTGAATGTGTACCCATGTCTCCTTATATCCAGTCTATTGTTCTTTCTGTTAGGCACATTAGGCATGTAAGATGCTTATTCTTTCAATGTAATACTACCAGGTTTTTACTAAGTCAGCATTTTCCTAAACTGTAATTATGGAAACACTGGTCTTGAGAGATGACCATGAGGAAAAGGTTCTGTAGTGACACAACTTTGGAAAACATTGTATATTTGTGTGTGTGTTTTGTTGCTGTTGTTTTAAAAATTTGTGTTCCCTCTGAAGAGATTCAGATTGTACTTTAGAATATTAAAGACTTTGGAGAGAAAAGAAGAAAAAGCATATTTAATTTTGTTTAGCCCATCACATCCCAGATCAGATGACGTACAGAGCCTTTCTAAAAAAAGGATCATTAGCCTCCAAAAAGCTAGTTTCCCATAGAGTATACACTGGAAAATGCTTGTAAGTTGTTCGAAGGGAAAATGACAGTACATGAAAGTTCTTTGAAATGCAAAGTGATACAATATTAATATTGCTGTATATCTTTTTATAATTCACTTTAAGCATCTTAGCTGATTTAACAGTTTGGGTCCAGTTGTTCAAGTACATGTTAAGTCTCTGTTTATAAGTACTATTTGACTTATAAGTAAACCGACTGTCCTTCCATTGCCTGTGAGGTTTGTTTGTCAGGCCTGCCCTTCTTTCTACCTCAAAGCCTAACCTGCCCCTCTGGTAACAGCTACTACATTTTATTTTATTTTCATTGTGGATTAAGTGGGTTCCCATGGCTTGTCTGCATTTTTAAATCCAAGTACACTTTTTTCCTATATATTCGGTATTTCAAACAATCGAATTTCAAAGAAAACTTGTATATTTGATCCTGCCTGCACTATAATTTATGATTAATCCAGAAGTCTCCTTAGTTACAAAAATGCAGAGTCATCATTTTTAGAATATCAAAGCACAGTTGAATTCTGTACTCAAAAGATCTCTAACTTTGATATACATGAAATTTTTCACTAGATGAGTTAATGAAAATGGTTATGATTGTGCTTAGGGGTAAACAGTATAGCTTAGTATTTGACAGTATTTCATAAGATTGAGGTTTTCATACTTTCTGCAGCATTT